TGCTTCTGGGTTACTTCACTCAAGATGATCTTTTCTAGTTCCCACCATTTGCCTGCAAATTTCATTGTTTTTATTAGCTGAGTGGCATTCCATTGTATAAATGTACAATTTCTGTATCCATTCCTCCATTGATGGCCAACTAGGTTGTTTCCAGCTTCTGGCTATTACAAATAAAGCTGTCACAAACATGGTTGAGCAAATGTCCTTGTTGTATAGTTGATCATATTTTGGATATATGCCCAGGAGTGGTAAAGGTGGATCTTGAGGTAGCACTATTCTCAATTTTCTGAGAAAGCTCCCGATTGATTTCCAAAGTGGTTGTACAAATTGACATTCCCACTAGAAATGGAGGTGGATTCCCCTTTCTCCACATCCTCTACAATATGTATTCTCATTTGAGTTTTGATCTTAGCCATTCAGGTGGGTGTGACGTGAAATCTCAGGGTTGTTTTGATTTGCATTTCCCTGATGACTAAGGATGTTGAGCATTTCTTTAAGTGTTTCTCTGCCATTTGATATTCCTCTATTGAGAATTCTCTATTTAGCTCTGTATCCTATTTTTAAATTGGATTACTAGGTTTGTTGGTGTTTAACTTCTTAATTTCTTTATGTATTCTGGATACTAGCCCTCTTTCAGATATAGGGTTGGTAAAGATCCTTTCCCAACCTGTAGGCTGTCGTTTTGTTCTGACAGTGTCCTAAGTTCTCCAGCTTCAGGGTGTTCTCTGTGTTGACTCTAATTGTTTCCATGTCTTGCACCATTTCTTTCATCTGTTGCATGTGGACTCCTGTCTTTCCATGATGTCATCTAGTTTTTCAATTGTTTCCTCTTTATGTGACTCTATTTGTCTGGCTATTTCTCTGAGAGTTTTGTTCATTTTTCTTTATGTGCTTGTAATAACTTGTTAAGCATAGCTATAAAATAATTTTCCTGTGTTTCCGATGAATTATAATATCCATCGATTTTGGTGTTTGCTGTTGAAGCTATGACGTCCTGATTATTTTGGATGTATTTTTAAGTCTGCCTCTAGCCATCTGACGGTCATTAGTCTTTGCTGTTTGTCCCTGGAGCCTGTAATGCAGACTGGGTCTGTCTGTCTCAGGAGTCTGGAGTATTCTTCAAGAAGATGAGAGAGGTCCACCGGTTTGAGAGTGGGTATTGGTGTTTCAGTTGCAGCTAAGGGAGGAAAGTCACAGGAGCAAGTGCGCAAGTGCAGTAGTGTCCATAGGTGTGCGCCTGCCTGGAAGGGTGGAGTGTGAAGGAGAAGCACAAGCAAGCTCAAGTTGTATTGCAGGAGTGGTTTGCACATGCACAGGTGCCCTGAGTGGCTCAGTAGCTGACAGGCCTGTCTCCAATTGTGTTCCAATTGCTCACATCTGTCTGAGCTGCAATGTCTTGGTTCTAGGAATTTTTCGGCTGGACTCCACTGGGAGACCCACAGAACAGTGGCTTCTAAGCTGAGAATGCTGTCCTAGAGGTCACCATGTTGCCCACAGAGAGGGTGTAGGTGGGAGGGATCTCAGGTCTGGCTAGTACTGTGGTGGGGCCCAGATATAGGGCTGTGTATGCCCTCTCTGGCAGAAGCACTCACTAGCTTCGGTGTCTGCAAAGTGCAGAGTCCCTGAAAGCACTCACTGGCAGGGCTATGTGGAAAGAGCTGAGGGCTCCAGGGAACTCACTTGCAGGAGAGTGTGTAAAAAGCAGAGGGGCCCACAAGCACTCACAGGTGGGTGTGCAAAACACAGAGGGCCCTGCAAACTCACTCACAGGAGTATGTGGTAAGCTTACAGCGCCCACAGTTTTCTGCTTTCACATTTGGGTTCCCTGTTTGACCTTTAGAGTAAGAGGGTGCACCTTATCTGGGGTTATGCACTCCCTGCAGCTGCTCAGCTGCCTGGACAAGCTGAGCAAGGGAAGGTGTCGCTGGGAGTGCAGGGGGTCAATAGTTCTGCTGTCATACCTGGCAGACATCTATGCTGGGACCTGGATCCAGTCTGTCCTAGCTCAGGGGTTGTCCCCTCTAGCTCAGGAAGCCTCACAGTCAATGCTCTGGCTTCACTAGCCCATCCACTCACCAGTTTTGAAATTTAGGATCTTCTGCCCTTCAGAAATGGTGTGCACTGGTCGCCGCCATTTTGGAGCTCTCATTAGGGTTATTTTTGTTGTTACTTCATAACTGTAATTTTGCTACTGAATCTTAAAATAAATACCTGAATTTTTCTATGGTCTTTGGTGACACCTATGAAAGGTCTTTCAACCTCCAAATGGGTCACAACCCACAGGTTGAGAACTACTTCTGTAGGTCATAGCTAATGAATATTTGCATTAAAATTGTGTTGCTTTGAGGTCAAAACATAAGGATTATTAAAATATAATGTTTACGTTATTCTATATTAATATTAGGTTTGATTTTATTTTAGCCTCCTACCCAATTTGCTTTTTTTTCCAAAATAAGGTTGTGTTAAACAATAATAATGTGGTGGGTCTCTGGGCTACTGTACTGAACTTGATAATTGTTAAGAACATTAAAATGTGTTCATATTAAAATGCTATTTTCACTGTAGTTATGAAACAAAATAGTTTACATACATATACATAAATATGAAGGAAAGCACTCATCATGCTTGGCCATACAAAAACAAGAATTAGAACTAAAGTTGTGTTTTCTGTGTCTGAATGCAATAGCTGGATCTCAGCATTTGTTATCTGCTTCCTTAGAGCACCACTGGTATCTACATGTGACTCTCACATGAAAACTAGTGATGGCTCTAATCATTAAAACCATGTGCAGAACTGAAACCTGAGGTTTATCAGATTTGAAGGACATGAAGTAATGTGAAACGTAATAGACAGATTAACTGGAAATGTGTATGTCTGCCAGAGTCTAATGTGTTCTCTTTTTATATGTATATGTGTGTGTGTGTCTGTGTGTATTTTTATATGTATATTTTTTATACACAATAAGGAGTTTCACTGTGGCATTATCATGCAATAATGTGTTAGCTGACTGTTTTAAAATTTTCTTTTTTAATGTACACACACATATTCTGTCATTCTTACAAATGCATATATAAACATATGTATATATGCATATTTATATATTTGTGTACATGAAAATGTGTGGTCACAAAAATATGTTTTACTAATGTATTTCAGTTATCTACAAAGAGAGGACTCAAACAGTTGAAGCAGTATATGCTTTGGAAAATGATTTCAAGAGCTGAAATATTTATCTGGTGGTCTTATGGAAAACCTGTCTGTGAGTAAGGCAGCTGATATTAAAGGGATGAATTATACTAGAATTGTTAAGGATATTTTAGTGTGAGTCACATTTTCACATATTCATATTTTATGTTTTTCAGAAACCTTGCAGTTGAGCTGGTAAGCTATTTATAAACAACATTGTTATAGAAAAGACTTATAAATTTCAAATCATATATCTTGAGAAATTTTATTTGTATCAACAACAGCAACACTGAATAAATAAGTGATAATTATAAAGTTTTAAGACTCTAAAACATTTTCAACTTACAATTTCACTTCTTTATGGAACTGCTGTTTTTGTATATGAGGCTGATTGAAGCACTGACTTCTAATTCTCAACCATTTCTTCTGTTAGCTTGGTCAAGATATCTCAGTCACAAATAAGCAAAGTAATAAGATGTTTTGACTTTTATATCTGGAGGTAGAATATGCAAAGTCCACCACTACTGTGTACTTCTTGTCTGAAAAGATGAATTTCTTTCCTTTTCTGGTCATACTAAAGAAATCACTTATCCTTTAAAACCAGAGATTCGTGTTAAAAAAAAAACACATTAAACATCTTTTGCTAGTTTAGATTTAATGCCACTTACTAAGATTTTCACCAAGAAAATGAAATAATAAACTCACTACTTCTTTTTGGCTAAGTTCTAAGCTTACCTTAACTTGTATTCTCTCACAGACAACATGCATTGTATTGTGTTCTGGTCACAATTTAAAATGACGAATTAAAAGGAAATCTTGACACCTGGAACATACACATTCCAAATAGAGACAAACATTTCCTGTAGCTCTTTATACTTTTTAAGAATAAATTAACTCATCTGACATTCCAATTAACCTCAGAATTTTCAAGGTAATTTGAAATATGAAGAGGGTTTTTAATTGCATTGTTCAGTATATTTTGTCTTTCTTCTGTTGGTAGGTAAGTGTTCTGAGTAAACATTGTAAACTATTCATCTCTACTTTGTTACAGCAGATTAGAAAAGGGGTTAATACATAGTGTTTTCTTTATGTGTGTAATATGTAAATGGTTTCATATGCTTTTTGTTACTCTATTTCAGGAAGCCACTAGAGAAAACAAGTCAGCAATTCAAGGACAAAACACATGTGGATGTTTTGTGGAGTATAAATAGCCAGCACTTTAATTCTACACCATTTCTGAATGCCTATGTCAGAAAATGACATTTTTTTCTTTTGTTAAAAACAAATTTATTCATGTACACTTATTTATATTGCTCCCTCCCTTACATCACTACCCCTTCCAACTCATACTATAATCCTTCTCTATAATTTATAATCTCTACTTACTAATCTATCTATCTATCTATCTATCTATCTATCTATCTATCTATCTATC